CAAATCGTTGTGACTCTACATGGCCATATGTTGTTTTTCCCTCGTTCAAGAAATATTTCGCAAAGGTAAATTATGTGATAATAGAAAATACGAACCATGCCGTTCCCTCCTAATTCGCACCCACGGGCCGCCACTGACAAGAAAAGTGCATTGTGTAATAATGTAAACAGGTACACAATATGTTGCCCGTTTATCTTATATATTATATATATATTATATATATAAATATATTATATATATATATATATATATATATTTTGATACCCGCTGTTTTAACACGTGCACATCCTGTCGCAGAACATTCTGAAAAAATCAACGCGTCCTCTCCGAGATACGGACTAAGAAGTAAAAAGCAAAAAGCAGCGATGGTCAAGGATTGCAAATGCAAACACATTCAAAATTAAACACCACCCAGTAATCTGGCTTAGCAACCTTCCCACAAATTCACGCGGGATAATTTGATTGACAATGCGCGCCGTTTTACTTATTTAATCAAATTAGATTTTAACGGACGCAAAGAAAGTTAAAAAATATTAATGTAGGGAAATTTTCTTGAGTGAGGTCAATAATAATACGTCATTTAAAGTGCCAACGTTTTTGGCTTTTATTCAGGCTTCAATAGGGTAATTTTTATTCCCGTTCTTGGCCAGTTGGAGAGGACATTTTGTGATGAGGCGACTTATGTACCAAGGTGCCAATTTAACGTAATAGTAATGTAGGGAATGAAGGCCCAGAGAATTATGTGGAAAGATAGTGCCGTTCGAATGTGGATGGTCCCGAGAGATCCAAAATGCCCTGATGAAGGCTGAAAAAAGCCGAAACGTCGGCACTTTAAATGTTGTTTATTATTGACCTAATTTCAAGACCACGTTCTTTACCAATTAATGAATGAGGTCCAAGAAAATCCGTATTGTGTAAAAATATACCAATGAGCTAAAACCCGAGCGTCAGATCTATCTCAGGGTCAGAGGTCTCCGTTCACCGCGAAGGTTAGGGAAAAGAAGGGGAAGAGAACCCATACTCTAGGGTGACGGTTGACCGTTTGTTTGAAATTCGTTATCTCTGCGCATGAAAATTCAAAGACATTCGCTGTCCGGAGATGGCGTTCCTAGGCAGCAAGTACCAACGTTCGGCTCCTTGACGAAGGTCGCATAAATGGCGACGAAACATCGACATCTGTGTTTTATATTATTATTATTATTATTATTATTCTTATTCTTATTATTATTATTATTATTATTATTATTATTCTTATTATTATTCTTATTATTCTTATTCTTATTATTATTCTTATTATTCTTATTCTTATTATTGTTATTATTATTGTTATTATTATTGTTATTATTATTGTTATTATTATTGTTATTATTCTTATTATTATTATTATTGTTATTATTATTGTTATTATTATTATTATTATTATTGTTATTATTATTATTATTATTATTGTTATTATTATTATTATTATTATTATTATTATTAAACTTTTGAGTTTTCGAGAAACTTAACTGGATGACATTTGAAGCTCTTCCACTCACAAATTCAATGATGTATACACAATGCTTGATTTATAAAATTTTAGGTTCCGAACGCGAAATAGTTATTCCGCTCTTCCTTCGCGTTCCGACAGAAATCAAGACCTGTGTATACAATTCGCTGGAAATGTTCATATTAATGGTGTGACTTCACTTTTTCACTTTAAAAACGGCAACGTCGTGAAAGAAAATTATGGTGTATGGAGCGACACTTGTATTTGGGCACTGGAGTTTTATCAACGCCTTCATCGATCTATTTAGGTGGCGATGTTTTAATTCTTGGCATAATCACTACGATCGCAGCGCCAAAACACGTGCTTGGAAATTTCTTTGAATCTTATGGCGGAATCCGCAAAGAAGTTATGAGTTCACTACCAGGAGGCAGAGACGCGTCGAATGACACATGATATAGAGCGATTTTTATAAGAATGGACTAAAGTGACAGTTCGCAAAACAAGTGAACATCATGTGTAATTCAGAAAAGTATCCCGACTATCAAAACTTGGTACTATGCCCTCGTAACTCAAATGCGTTTTAATAATTGTTTCATATTTCAGTAATGTTATGCATTTCTTGATCTATTTAGTATGTCTGTTTTCATCTATTTCTTGGATGAATAATAGGCACATTTTTTATATTCACTCTCTCCAATTAAGACACCTAAACAATGAATGCTATCTTTTACTTGTATTCGTGCTTCCACAACTAATGGCTTTACTAAATTTTCTCGAGAGATTTTTTCTTTACAAACATTCACTTTTCAATTAATATTTTTAATAGAACATATTTCTATGATGTTAAAAGGAATAAATGGGACGCTCCCGAACACAACTCGCCAGTCGCCACACAGAGCAGAAGCCGGAACTACGTGAACCGTTACCAGTACGCAACTCACATTCAAGATTCGATTTTAAGACAAACATAATACTTATCACATAAGAACTAAATTCAATGTAATGTTTATAAAAAATAATTTTTATAGAAGAGAACATAGCTCTGCCCTTCCTAATTTCAATTATTTCTCGTGATGCACTATATTTTCGTCGGACGAGAACATCACAAAATGAAGAGTCGAAGCCATTTACAAGTTAGCCAACTGCAAACGAACGAATGGAGGAAGGGGCGTCTAATAGGTACAAGAACACAACGACCACAGAACCTTCAGTTGTGTTGCCAGCACTAGCTGTGAAATCATGCCATTCTAATAAAAATCGCTCTATATGTCTCGCTTATGTCGCTTATATGTCTCGATAGGTGCATGGGAAGTGGTCTATCCGTGAGTGACGGATCTGCTCGCACACATGGACATAAACACACACATGAACATACGCACACTCGCAGTTACTCAGACGTCTCTTAAGCTGTAAACAATTTTAAAGGTATTTTCATGTGTAGAAAGTTTCTTTTATGTCTCGCTATGTACAAAAATATGTTCTTACAGTAGCTAGCATTGGATGTACTAATGACTCGTAGTAGCTGTTAATGTTACATACTTCCGGTTAAAAATTCCCAACACCAAATGGCCTTGTACGTAATCTCCATACGGGATATGAACTGGTAATATTGCAATTTCAAAATTATAATCGCTGTAAAGAATACTTGCAGGTATGGATGATGCGAATAGCTAGATTAAGTACAACTACATTTTTACTTTCTCTCTCTTACTAGCGTTAGAAGAGAAAGTATTGTAATACTTATTGCCGGGCCGTGGTAACGAAAAAGTGGATAAAACCAGTTATTAAATATATTTAAAAAATCCTCTAGCACATGGTGTAGCCAGAATTCATGTTTTGTGCGTCCTTCGAATCGAAAACTCGATTGACGGGAAAACGTGTGTCCGTCCGTCTTTCTGTCTGTTCGTCTCTGCACAACGTTAGCGTATAAACCGTTCAGCCGATTTTCTCTAAAATTGACATTTCCCAATTGTTCTAGCTGATGTCGCGGCCCGTGTAATTTGCAAAATATATTTTAATTCTTGGGGGTACTTTACTCGAAGCCTCTTGAACATTTTCAAAATTAAAAAAAAAAGGCGTATATACTGTACGTGCTGTATGAATCGAAAGTTATGCGCTCGATGGGGACAAGGAATCCCGCAATGGGGCGGAGCGCTAGTTTAGCGCTCAAGTACTTTAGGTCGAACCTTTCCAATTTGTATTTTCCAAATCGTATTTTCCTCCCTTTCCTCAAACCTAAAGCTATTCCTAAGGGACTCCAATACACAGGAACGTTTCTGTTCAGTTTCTCACCTCCTTTATGCTTCGAAATGTCATAAGAAATCAGGAAGAAATATAAATTTTAAAGTGCACCGCTATTTTAATACAATATCCAAAATTCAAACCAACTTCATGCACTTGCAAAAAGGTCAAACGTCGTGTTTCATTTCTAACAGCAGATAAATAATGTTTTGCTTACCGAACAAAATATTTAAAATTGCTTTGTGACAAAAGACGTCGGTCCCACGGGAACAAACTGATTTGATTCAGGGGAAACCGACCCGCCTCGCGCCACATTTATCTACCAATAGGCACTGCGCACGAATCTCGCTGTCGAAAGGATGAGTTATGTCTATATGACTAATATGTACTTAAAATGGAAAGTATTATTTTGTAAGCGAAGATAGCGGATGAATGAAGTGTTGCAGGAGCATCCGTGATATCACCATCTATTTTCCATATTTTCCGGTAATGAAATACTTTTCATGTTTGTATGAATAGAAAATGTGTGAAATTCGAACATTTAAAAATGTCTGCTGCTGTAACAATCCGTGCCTGGGGCAAATTCTTTTCACATCTTGGTAATAAAGCCTCAGTTCAGGCTGTTCTGTACCAAATTGGCGGCCTCGAAAACACTTCTTTAATCAACAGTTCTCCATCCATGATCACACGCTGGTGGGTTCAGATTATGGTGGAAAGAGAGGGGTGATCTAGTGCGAATCGTATACGACTTTATTCAGGGAGCTTCAGATGGTAGTTTGCGTCACAATATTAACAGGAATTTTAAATGCAGACATATGCCAAAATTATCACATTGTTACAAGTCATTGAAACATATATGAAGCATTTATTTTAAATATTGCATCTTCTACACCATCGTGTTATTTTTGGTTGGATACAGATGAAAATTGTATCTTTATGCCACTTCCAAAATGTTTCTCAACATTTCTCTCTCCATGCAACATGGCGGCCAGCGTCTGGTCCGGCTTTTCAAGTGCCTGTTCTATAGTCTTATGGTTCGTGACGAAAATTGGTGCTGCGCCGAACGAGAAAAATCGGTTTGCTGGAACAGCCCACCCATCTCTTTCCACCATAGTTCAGACTGCGAACAGTGGGCACGAAAACGAAACTCCAAATCGCGCCGCGCCAAGGAAAGCAATTCCAGTCATGACTTTCACCCGGTCCTTAAATATTTTGGGAGCAAAACAATGTTAACTTAAAATTTAAAGAATGTTTTAAAAATGTGTTTCAGTACCTGCTGGAGGCGGGATGGGCCGGGGAGGGCAGAGCCATCGCCGTGACGGAGCCGCGCCGGGTGGCGGCGACCACGTTGGCCGCGCGCGTGGCCGAGGAGGTGGGCTGCGCGCTGGGCGACGCCGTCGGCTACTGCATTCGCTTCGACGACTGCTTCCACGAAGGGCGGACCAAAATTAAGGTAACGAGACACCTTGCACTGGGAAGCGCTTTGCCAACTTTGAAATAATAGGAAGCAGGATTTGTTTTTACAATTCGAGTGATTAATAACATCGTGCGCGTTAACTGTTAAGATCATGTCCTGTAAGTGTAATGATTGTTTTTTTTTTATCGGGGAGATGGCCATGATGAGCTTCCCAACGTGGATGGCCAGATTCGGTGCCGGGTATTGTAAGGGTATTACTCCGGAATTCGCCTGGAGTTGATCGAGAAACAGCGACTAGCTGCGTAGCTATACTTAGGTTTGAATAACGTGGCGCGTCAAGGCCTGTCTTCACGATGCCTCTAGACACATCGCACTGCTTGATACTCTGCGAGTCACGCGTTACCTAGCGGCACGACCGAGAAAGACGTGAAATGCTGTGATCCCAAGTATAGTGTCGAAAATACTGCAATCCGAGCTCGACCCCCAGGACTTCCTGTTCAGAGGCACTGTACATGTAGACACATGCAACTGATATATTTCCTCCGATTCACAAATTACACAGCACACCAACAGATACTTACAGGATTGATGACCTTAGCAGTTGACGTGCGCGGAATAACAAATTAATCTATCTAAAGGTAACAACAATCTCTAAATTGTTATTTTTGACCCTTGATGTAACTTGTAGTTTTGTTTTATAGTTCATGACCGAAGGGATTCTCGTCAGGGAGATGATGGCTGATCCTCTTCTTCGGAAGTACAGCGTTGTTATCTTAGACGAAGTTCATGAACGAACCCTTTTTGCAGACATCGTTATGGGCCTCATGAAAAAAATTTTGCGGGTAAGTAAAAAATCACGTATTCTACAAAGTGCTTTTGAAAAGTTATGTAACTGATAAAGAAAAACAAAATTTTCAGAAACGTAAAAGTCTCAAGTTAATTGTATCGTCTGCTACTCTGGATGCAAAATTTTTGAAAAACTTTTTTAACAACCCTGTAAAGAATGAAGGAAAGGACACTGCAGTAATAATGAGCGTTGAAGGACGAAAATATCCAGTTGATATTTATTATCTTAAAGGTTTGTAAACGTTCATTGCTTTACAGTCATATTTTCCCATGCACACAAAAAGACAAGAATTATTTTTCAGAACCCTGCCCTGATTACGTGAGAGCTGTCGTTGACACTGCCATCGCCATAAACAAATATGAGCCCCCAGGAGACGTTCTCGCCTTTTTACCGAGCCAGGAAGACGTGGATCGCGCGGTGTTAATGATGAAAGAGCAATTTGAAGTGCAGAGCAAGGACGTCTGTGAGTTCAGCCCAAACCAGTGTTGTCTACACTATTTTGCGAGGAACTGCACAAGATAACACAAGTTATGCGAAATGGTGAATTTGTAAAAGAAGATTACTTTATTCTTTATTGTTTCAGTAAAGCTATGGGTTTTACCCATGTACGGATCCCTTCCTAATTCTGAGCAACTGAAAGTCTTTCGTTCCACACCCAGAGGTTTGCGGAAATTAGTAGTGGCAACTAACATAGCAGAAACATCAATAACAATTTCTGGCATCAAATATGGTAAGTATGTTATTTGCTGTTTCTGTAGTTTGCTAATATGATCATCTCCAGTTGACACGGGGTTGACAATTCTTGTCAATTTTTTAAGTCATCTTAACTCAGCGGTCGTTTACGTTGAAATCGACTTCGCCGTATGCGTAAAAGAACGGAACGTACTGCAAAGTGCATCCAAAACCCTGAATCAATTTGACGTGAAAACGTGAATCAATTTGGCTCCCGCCTCGCGATTCTGGGAATGATCCCTAGCGTAGTAAATATATATAATATGTTTGTGTGTTTATGAACTCTTACTAAAAGTATTGTATGCAACTCGTTCGCAAGTGTTTTCGGCGTATTCGTTTCAAAACGCGACACAAACGTGTGACCATTTCATTCGTACGCCAAAGACTATCTTGCTGTACTGTTTCTGGTTTGGTCTTGGCAGTGATCGACAGCGGGTTCGTGAAGGTGCGCTGGTTCAACCCCGCCACGCACCTGGTCAGCCTGGTGGTGGTGGCGGTGGCGAAGGCGGCGGCGGAGCAGCGCGCGGGGAGGGCGGGACGCACGCACAGCGGCAAGGTCTACAGGTACGTACGCTTCGGTTTTTCTAACGCGGCCCGGCAATGCCTGTCTTCGCGATGGAATGTCTCACAGCATTCCTGTCTTTCTCGGTCCTGCCGCTAATTGTCGCATGATCGCGACCGAATCAAGCAGTGCGATGTGTCTATGCTTGGATTTATTTAACCGTGCGTTTGAAGTAAATCAGCTTCAAGCCAATCCAATCGTTTCATCCAATTACCATAGTGACGTCACTGTAGTGACAATTAAGCTTCCGATTTGATGAAACCGTCAACACCTGATACCTGTTAGACGCACGACTAAATAAATCGTACTCCAGCGGCACGACCGAGAAAGACTCGAAATGCCGCGAGATATTCCATCGTGAAGACGGCCCCTGTCGCGCCAAGAAATAAAAACCCCAGTATAGAGCTTGCGCAAGACATCACTGCAATAGAAATGCGACATCGATGTCGACGTTTTTAAATAAGCACCGATGTTTTAAACATCGCTCTGTTAAAGCCGACGTTTTTTAACCTCCATGTTTCTCATGTTTCCTTTGTGAATGAAAAATTCCCCTAATCACAGTTTTCGAAAAGTTAAAATAGAAGTAATTATTAATTAACCAAACGAACGGTGAATGCACTGCTTTCATCGAGCAGACTATCACGCTCAGATGACCCAGATGTCCTCTTGATACTTTCCGACTTTTCTCGTATTTCGCTCTTGAAGCGGCGGTCAAACATGCGCCGTAGACCTTCTTCAAATATTCGATGACCCAACTCGTTTTTTACAAAATTAAAGTAAGTATATGAATTTTGTAAATAGTAATTGTATCGATAAAACTATCTCGTATCACGATATCTTGTACCTCGATAACTAAGCAGAAAACTGAAAACAGGGCAAAACTTTTAGTTTTTTCCCAATTTTTTCTACGAAATCGACCGTTTCCGAGGTGGCTCACATAACATTCGGATTCAGTATCCCCCCCCCCAAAAAAAACAAACAAACAAACAACAACGAACAGAACCGTTGAGAAAAATACTTCCGGAATTTTTCCTGGATTCCCTTTTGAGCATCAGGTGACTTGACTAAATCAAAGAAACTCAACAAATTCCGACCCATTTTAAAGAAACCTTCAAATGATCGAAATTAGAACAGCTGTCAATAATAAGTCATTGAACATAATTGCAGCATACAACCCCTCCAGTAGAACTTTTCCCATTAATGCATATAATCCAATATTAGGTATCAACAAAACAGATATCTTAATAACAATAGCACAAGGGCTACGTCTTGGCATTACTGAACGTGATTCATATCACTGTCACAATAGTCATTTCATTGTTCATCCCAACAGTTATAATTAACCATAATCGTAAGGGAAATCACGAATTGGAATAAAAAATATGCTGATTTAATTTTAAATTATTTATCTCGGTTTAATTGTAATTGTTCTTACCCATAATGTTATTTGAGCAAAAAGTATTGATATCTAACTTTAACATATCTTACAATGCCATCATTAACTCATTAAAACAAATGTACAGTATCGTTCCGCCAATCACAAACAATACTCAAATTATTAATTTAATTAAAACCAAAAACAAATATGAGACGTTACTGCCAGAGATCTAGAAGGAAGGATGTTAAATGAGAAGTCAACAAATTCGCAAAGCTTATTAAATCCCACGTACAAAGTATTCAAGATGCAGTGAAATGTGTTAAGCAACTGACATTTTGTGAAAAACGGACTTTCAATGGTCACTTTTTTCTCCGCATATAGGCCAACTTGGACCACGCGTGCACCCTTCTTCAGCAGGTGCAAGAACCTTTCGGGGGGATATCAGCATCTTTAGCTGAATTCCTATTTTTCTCCCCCCGAGGTTGTTAGCCTGGAGATATGGACGAAGAGACGATGAGGCTCGTCAGGGATGAAAGGACGGCACACACATATACTAGACATATTACAGAAATACACCCATGCCCGAGGAAGGACTCGAACCTGCGGTCTGCTGGTTCGCGATCTCGGCCCTGCTTAATGGGGGAATCCTTTTTTTAAATAGTGTGTTATTACTAGACATGTTAAGGAAAGTGTTTATTATTTCTTATGTGTATGAAAGATTTTTAGATGAGCAACAACTATGAAAAGTGAAACCTTTTGACTAAAGTTTATTTTGTCGTTTTGTCATAAATAGCATTTTAGAAACATTTGCTGTCTATTTATATGCCTTTAATGCCCTTATTATACGCAACTAGTTTATAATGTGAAGCTTTATCGCTTGAGTAGGGCCTAAATGTTTTGAAAATGAATGACGTTAGGAGCGAGTTTTCAAATTTGCACGAATGCAATGAAGAAACATTATAAACGAATTGCATTCATTATTTTTTGTATAACAGCATTCTAAATTTTTGTAAGAGAATCAAAATCAATTTTTGGAAACAACATTATTGTGACGTCACGTGTATCCGATATGTACGAAAAAAGGTAGTCGACTGTTCATTTGACCTCCTCCCGCTTCTCTCGCTACGATTGGTTGAATGTGTGGTGACGCAAACTCGTACCATAAACGGCAAATGCGTCATATTCTGTGCCATAAGTGTGTCATTTTATGAACGATGTCGTGTAACGAAGGTAATTTATAGTGCTGGAATGCAAACAAAAACCAACAAACAAAAACGATAATAAACGTTTAATCATTTTCAGGTTTAGTACTCCGAATACTGTTCATCAGTAACGAACCTCTATTTTCTTGTGCGGTCTCAATAAGCTTGTGTATGCATGATACACTTAATGTCTCAGAAGTTAAATACTTCAGTTTCCTCCTCAATTCCTGGAACCGCTTTGCACAATTGAAACATCTTCATGCGGTGGGGCGTGGGTGGGCGCGGGGCTCAGATTCCGGTCGCAACACAACACTCCCGTGACACGGGCAAAGCCGATATCCCCGACTTAGACATTGACATTCTATCGCACTAGATGTTCTTCCACGAAGGCCCTGGCAATTCAAAGAATTGCTCCGAGACGAATCCGCCGGCTCGTAAACAGATATGAAACAGATGGAGCGAGCTGTCTTGATAGCGTATCAGGGGTCACTGGTTATTGTTACTTGATTCTCGGACAGCACATGGCCTGCGAATGCTTTTTACATTGTCGTCAAATTTCATTTAAATTCGGTGTAGCTCTTACAATTCTCTTGAAAGTGATCTCTTATAAAGGGTATATTAAGAAAATTGCTATTAAGGGGTTGGTTGGTGGCCAACAAATTCACAGCCAGCTTAAAATTCCATTCATTGACAAAGACATACAACTGATCAACAATAAATTTTTCACACTACTTTTGTCTCATACAAGTGCCCAAATATTTAATCTCAGCAAAAATGCTACCATTCCAAACCGCATTATCTCCCGATACCCCAAAGACTCTCTGAAACCACCGTAAATTAGAATCAGTTCACTCGCACGATTAACCAGCTCCGCTGCCGAAGACATTAAATAAAAGCCTTAAAACGAATAACTTCTGAATTATTGCTCTAAAGCTTTTTTTCACGAGGTACCCGTGTGGCATTTCCCATATTGTTTCCGAAAGGCCAGCATTATGTGTATGTATCAAATGTGTATTGAAACCCCATAAAATCCGATCAGGCAGTAAATACATTTTTAAAAACTTAAAAAAGCCAACGGTACTTACATTATTGTAACTGCATTAAGTAACAGTACTTGCATTAAAATATTAAATTAACAAAATCGCGGCAATAACCGCCTAATATGTTTGCCTCTAAACTATGAGGGTCAGACAAATGAAAACGAAACGAGAAACGTTTACACTTGATGGCGCGTTTTATTTTTGGGACATTCCCACGTACCGCCGCGTGTTAATTGGGGTGCCGTGTTCCAGAAAGTCAATGGTCAGTGGGACCGTTCAGTCAAAGAACTAGCGGTGCTAAAACAGCATGTACTTACTCTCCCGTATTTCGAGATTTCGAGAAATTGTTTCTGACCTTATTTCAAAATCTATCTTTACGGGACAGATTTCATTGAGGTAAAAAATCTGTATCTTTTATATTTTGCTTATAGGAAAAAATGTTGAACTTTTGCAATTTCTGAAAAATCTGGATTTTCAACGAACATGCGACCTGCACCTTTCTCTTAAATGTCCTTCACACTATCCTACAATAAAACTGAATAAAAAACGATTGAGACATATTTTTGAAAATGTCCCAGGGTCTTCATGTAAAGTACCCCCCAAATTGAAATATTGGTTTCAAATTAAAGGCGCCGCGACATCAGGCAGATTGATAGGGGAATGTTAATTTTAGAAAAATCGACTGTACGGTTTGCTAGCGTTGTACACAGACGGACAGACAGTCATATAAACATTTTGCCATGATTTGATTGTTCGGTATTAAAAACCCACAAAATCATGGATTCTGGTTACACCACTTGATAGAGGATTCCCCCCTAAATTTAGCAACTGGATTTATCCACTTTTACATTACCAGGGCCCTGCAATATGAGATTTGTGCTGAAAATTCGTCGTTTTTCGCGCAGCATTGCAATACTTTCTCTCTACTGCGTAGTAAGAAAGTACATCATGACTTTTCCAGAGATCGCGTGTGGTGGCTTTGTCTTTTTTCGGTGGAGGTTAATCAGTGTTCTTCCATTGCTCTGACACTTGCTGTCCCGATCAAAGTGATGACGCCTTGTTTCATCTCCGGTTTCATTTCGGCGACAATACGGAACAGGAAAAGGTAGTGCTCAGCGTGAAACCGTTCCACGTACTGCAGTGATGTCGACTTCTGTTGAACGTGCGCTTCAACGGCAGGGTGTGTGGAACCCACTACGCACAGATTTTCGGGAACTCGGTGCGGATGCTTTGTCAAGATGGTGTGAGCGGTACTGGAACTTTACTCCTATTTAAACAGCCCCTTCAAGGACAAGAGCTGGAATGGTAGGAGGTCGCTGACCTCCAGTCGGAAGCTTCGTTAGAAGTTCAATTTTTGGAACTGAAGCTCTTGATTGGATTGCAGCGGGACCTTCCCCTTCCACGTCGTTGTCAATTGACAGGGTACTGTTTAAATCGGAGTATAATGCTCTGCCCCTCCCAGTTGCCGGAGAGCGTCACGTCGCACGGGGTCGCTGTCCCGTCAAACCGCCAGACGCAAAACGACTAAAAATAATATTTTAACGAAAGGGGCTTTGATTGTGGAATCGCAAACCCAAACCGCGACCCTCGACGTATGAGAACGGACTGGGCTCGCGCCCCGTCATGCGGTAGCGAAACCGCGCATGCTTTGCCGCGAGCCCGCCCGGCTGCGAAAGCACTAGATTTCTGACGAGGAACGCGCGCGCTCGCTACTACACACGCAGCGAGGTGGCAAGATCGTTTTCTAATGTGATCTTTTTTATTTCTGATCGTTAAATGAAACTGATTGAGGAGGAACTAATAGTAAGTACAGTAAAATCTGTCTGAGCCGGAATCGATCGGGACAAAAAAAAATATTCCGTTTTAGTGAGGTTTCCGTTTTAAGCAGGGCTTTCTATTTATGACACTTGTTATATTGATATTTTTGTACTGAAAATAGTAACATTACTTTATTATTATAAATATATATTAACTTGTAATTTATTTATGGAAGAAATCAACAATAAATGAATTTTAAACACAATTCTTTCTGACAATTAAAAGAAAAATCTTCACAATTTGCTCTCTAAAATAATGTTATTTTTTCCAACATTCGTCTAGAGTTTCTGTTTTTTTGTTTTCTCTCTTACTTCCCTTTTCAGTTGTTTTCGGAATTTGAAAATAATTAATATTTAGAGTTTGATGGTTTTTTTTCAACTATTGCCAAACTGGTTGTGAAAAGCAAAAAAACACACCAACTCACTGGCTAGTGGCTGCACCTAGACTTCTCGCAGACTCTTTCAGTACACAATTCGTTACAGCCCAGAGTACTAGGTCTTTCTGACATCCTCGAATAGCCATGACCAATGCGACTCTTGTAAAGAGGTTATGATTGTCTAAGCGGAGCCAGGAGACGTGTGAATACAAGTCAGGCCCGTGCACCTTCCCAACGCTTAGAGATCCGGGAGGGATGGAATTTCCCAACGGCTACGCCGTAGGGGAAAATGAATGACTCCAAGGTCTTTTGGCTGAAGATCTGCTGAGGATCTTTTCCTTCTCTGTGCGGTTGTCACGACAGCAACTCATATCACTCGGACAGAGATATTAAAACGGACTTGCAGATGCATTCATTCCATTAATAGTATCTCGCGTCTCTCTGCTAACTGCATTAAATTCACAGAAATTCCGTTTTATGAAGGTTTTCCCTCCCCCTATAGGACATGAAAACCCGTTCGTTTCCGCTTTGGACAGATTCCGTTTTATTCTGTATAAATGTCTTTTAACTTCATGGGCCGGAGAAATTTTCCGGTTAATTTTTTTCGACTTGTATAGGTTCCGGTTTAGACAGATATTATTGTATAATTATTGAGTCATAACCATCGACAAATAAAGTTAAACACATTCACTTTCACATATAAGCACATATTTTTAAAAAAGTAATCAAAGGATGTACACTGTCCTTGCATTGTAGCGAGTATTTAGTGTTTCCGGTGCCGTCAGTAGTTCCGTGAGTGTTGTATGTGAGACAACTGGGACGTGGGATCCGGCGCCGATGCAAGGCCAGTTTGCAGGTTTTCTTCCTTCGGGAATCTCCTCGCCCCGGCCAGATCTATTAGTATGTTCCCACCATGTGTGATATTTTTGTGCATATAAGTGTATTTAAGATGAGAAGAGGGTACAAGGATGAGGAAGGGAAGAACATGCGCTGTTCATAGACTGTTTATCAGGGTACTGCACCGACATTCGTTTGGTTTTGATTAGGTGATTAAATCCACGAAAAACTACTGATCAGTGCAGCGAGCCGCCAGAATGTTCCTGCAGACAGCGTCTGAATTCTTTTTTTTATAGATATCTAGCTAGTGTCGGAAACCCCGCCCCCTTCGGGACCATCCCTTCAACTTTCCTGTCAGAGTCGCTGCAGTGGCAGCGAATGGTGTTAGTGATTCATCTCCACGGGTTCCTTGCTATGTTGTGCTAATGAGGAATTTTTGTAATACTTAACTCTGTTATATCCATTATTTTTTAACATCAAACCTTTGTAACAATTCGTACAAAATTGTATTCTGCTTCTGAAGACTTATTTTGTTTATTTGTTCGACAGGTTGTACACGAAAGATGAATTTGAGAAAATGGAAGCATCGTCTCCACCCGAGATGCAAAGAAGTGATTTGTCAATGGCGGTTGTCCAGTTAAAAGCATTGGGCATCGACAATGTTCTAAGGTTTAATTTCCCTTCGCCACCTCCTGTGCAAAATTTGTTGTGTGCTTTAGAGCTGTTGTATGCATTGGACGTGTTAGACAAAAATGGCAATTTAACTAAACCTTGCGGCACAACTGTCGCAGAGTTTCCTGTTAGTCCACTTTACACGAAGATACTCCTCATGGCTGGTGAGTTTCAAAATGCAACCTTTAATTCCATACATGATGCATGCATAGGCAAATACCCATGCACACATTGATACATGCGAAGTGTTTCACACAAAAATACCCATAACCTTATATTTCCATCGTGTAATCCACATGTGACCTTTCTGTAAATATTTCCGTCATATTTGATCTTGTGCAATCGTCCTAGTTTTGAATGAAAATCGAGCAACGCCCAATTGGCACAAAATTTTGAATACTTATTTACATATTTTAAAAACATTGAAAAAGTCACAGTGGCTTCATTTTTTCGTGCCCTTGCTCGGAAATTTTCTTTGTGATCTCTGGTCGGTAAAACTAGATCTTATTACTGAGGTATTTATCAAGTATAAACTCAAAATATTTTAGTTATTTAAATAATTAACTGATGGATTGTTTAGTGATTCCGGGTGCGTAAACTTTAGACCGTAATTTAATTCTTACGTGTGCTCAATGTCCCAGCTCAAAATATTCTTAGTCACGAATTTTGCGACCGAAAACCCAAATCGTATTGTTGCGATTCCAATAGTACTGCTTTTCTACATTAAAAGAAGAAAAGTTAAATTTTCAATTATCTCTGTGAAAAGATTATTTCAACGTATCAGCAAATTTCTCTATTCTATTCTATTCGTAATTTCGAGATTCTAATAATGATATATTTTCCTAATTTTGCAGGTGAATTTGGTTGCTCTGAAGAGATCCTTTCAATTTTGGCCATGTTACAAATTCAAGAAGTGTTTGTGCGACCGCTGAGGGGGTCGGACGCAATGAAAGCTCGAATGGCGAAGCAAAAATTTGCTGTTGCGGAAGGCGATTTGTTGACGCTGTTGAATGTTTATTGTTCTTACGTGAAGAATGGAATGAGTCGTGATTGGTGCAATAAATACTTTTTGCATTGCAAGGGCTTGAAGCGAGCGTGTAGAATGCGAGAGCAGATCTTAAAGCTGGCTCAGAATTTCAACATTCCTATTGTCTCATGCAGTGTGTATGCGTTCTTTCTACTCTTTGACGACGGTTGAGATGTTTATTATTACTTGATACATATTTATTGATTTCAGGCAATTCTGTAACTATTCTACGGTGCTTGACTAGCGGTTTATTTCCAAATGCTGCTTACTTACATTATTCTGGTGTTTACAAAACTATTAGAGGGGATCAAGAACTTCATATTCACCCATCATCTGTTTTGTACTTCCAGGAGCAACCCAAATGGTAACAAATTACTCACTTATTTGCATTGACAGGCTTAAAACGTTTGTGTACATTTAATATTGTTAATATACTTTATAGTTTTGCTCTTTTTTTTGTAAGATGCATGGAAAAAAGGGTAAAATTTCAATTGGCCATTTTCAATGTTTCAAAATAACTAGAAATATTTATTAGGATCCTCAAATTTGTCTTGCATTGCTGATATTTTGGGTATTCAGTTATTTGGGTAACAATAAGATAATCCAAACTCTAGAACTTTAATTATCTCTTACAGTTAAAACAACATTATAATCAAAAGTTATATGAGAGATTTTGAATTCTTGTGAAAATTTTCTAAAAATGAGTAAGTGGGTGTGGAGGGGAGCATTGCTGCATGTTATGAAATAGCTACTATGATACACTTACTGATTAACATAAACTGTTGCTGTCTTTGTATTGTTGTACTATGGAAAGAAAAAAAAAAAACTTAACGATTTCTTTACACATGCAACATTTATTTCAGGTGCTCATCTTATTTCTATTTTGACTTTCTGAACTATGGAATTCACTTGTTTGCATTACTGTTGTATTATCAAATGCCTGAACAAGTGACAATATATTGGATTTTTCTTGCAGGTTGTTGTACTGTGAAACGCTTCATACAAACCAGTCTTTTATGAGAGACGTCACCGTCATTCAGCCTGAGTGGCTTGAAGAGCTTGCTCCCCATTTCTACCAGAAAGTGACTGAAAAAGACTTTTAAACCAGAGTGCTTTTCTCAAACTCTTTTAACTACATTTTGATAATCCCCAAGGTAAATAGCACAGACAAACTTGTAGAGACCATCAATGAAGCTATTGGCACTAAATGGTTTTGTGACAAGTTGATGAATCTCTGATGTCTCTGGAAACCTTACCCAGTACTTCCCTATGTGCCATATGAGTGAGCTGACTGAGGTACAAAGAAATTCGCTGGTTTGGCAGAAATACTTAGGAGCATTTTGGAGCATTTTGTTTTTAATATTATTGAAAACTGACCAGCAGAACAATTCACACCAACCTCTTCTTTATTGTGTGAGTGAGGTGCGAAGAAGAATAATCTGACTCCTTATGTTTGATCTGACCTTTTGTGATTGAGTCATGGCTGGTATATCAATAAAATCTGATCCAGATTTTGATCATATACCAAACGTGGAGATAGTTCATTATTTTTAGAACATATTTTCATTTAATGTATTTGATTAATTCTTATTAAATTGTTTGAAAAATTTGTGTTCAGAGCTAGAAAATTTTGCTTTTTCTTTCTTTATTAATATTGTTTTGAGATAACATTTTGCATTGCTGCTGAGTAAAGATGTAAAAAAAGATAAGGGCACAATAATTAAACCTAACTGCAAAAACCAACAAAACCCACATGTTATCAGAACTAATGAATACATTATATGAAACTGTAATGAGTGATTTATTTTTGTGAAAAATAGTGAGAACTGTATTTGACATAATGGAGAGAAGCTTAATCTGCACAATAAAGGTTTTCGTAAGCTCTGGTATCACCTGCCCAGCCTTTCATATCATACATTTCACTGGTTTATCATTTCATACATTCATATTTTTTATACCTTGTTGAGTGATGAATAAATGTACCAACATAGTGATGATAGCAAAATTTTTAATACAGAAATGTTTGGTTCCTAGTTATAGTGCAGCTATATGACTAGAAGGGAAGCAAGTAGCCACATCAGTAAAATAGTCAACCTGTAATATTTTCTCATTGAAGAGTTACCTCTTTTCTAAAAGATCAAACATTTGCTCAATTGATTCACGTTTCAGGGCATGTCAAGTGTTAATGCCAATAGTCTCCTTAGAGTTGTGAATTTTCCTCCCCTACTGGAACGAGAGCGGTGGCGCGACGTTGGCAGGGAATTTCTCCCTGCAGGTGTCTCCTCATTGGTCGTCGGTGCGTGTGTAAAAGGAGAGGAGGGACGAAGATGGGAGGAGAGATCGCGCAGTCCGGTTGCTAGGTTACTGATCAGAGCAGGAGGCTTTACAAGAATGCTCTCTAGAAAGTGGCTGAAGTGGCTACCTAGCTAGTAGTTAGTGTAGAAAAAAACCGCCTCTGACGGGAATCGAACCCAGGTGCGAGAGACGCTGCAGAGAAAACTATCTGGCTCTGGCACTGAGGTAACTCAACATTTTGTTTATATATGTGGGGGGGAAGGGGTATGGGTGTGTCTGTCAAAATTAGAATCTAATCATTGCGAGCTGCAAAGCACACATTTTATCTGAATCTAAATTCGAGGCTATCTCTTCTGATTCAACCCGGAAACTTTGTTTAGTGCAAAAAATCTAACGTTTGTCGCAGAAAATACCATTAAATTGCATGTATAGCTCTTACGTCTAATCGAAGAGAAACGAAAGAACAATAAATTCACGTACATCAATTTTCTAATTTCCAATGCATGATTTTAACAAAAAGACCTCGTCCTATAGATATCGGTTTGAGAAATGTTTCTTTAAGGCCTTTAGCCTCAATATTTTAGTTTTTAATGCACTAGAATGCTTCGTTTAGGAGTTATTTTACGATGTAAATTCAAAAAATCTTGCCGAGTTTGTTGCGAGTTGCATTTGACATGAATATTTAGTTTCATTCTACAGCGCTATCTACAGTATTTTCCTGATATTTGTATAATTATTCTTCTATTCGGGGCAGAGATGAATCTAACAAATCAGAGATAATTAAAATGGGTTCAGCTGTTTGTGAGTTATATAAATGCTGTAACTAAGCCAACTTTCTTTTACATACAGTGATTACAACACGGGAAGTGCAAACATATTTTCAAAAGCCTTTCCACAGAATAAAGTACATATGAGCTTCGTCAGGCATGAAAATGAAATTAGCTAGCTAAAATACTTCAGTTGACAAGCTGTCAGCGAGCAAAGAATTGTAAAATGAGAATTCACATATGAAATGAGGGCCAGATTTACTGAGGTGAGGCCCCTTTGGTGGAGAAATCTCAGGGAAAAGATAAACTAATGTTTATTAATTGTTGATAAACATGTAATATGTGAATTTAACTACGGGGATTGGACATAACAATATGAACAATATTGTGGAAAGATATGGGTAGGCTACGCCGGTGCACTGATTTTATCTCGTTCTGCGCAACACCAGTTTTTGTCATGAACTACGAGACCACAGCATGGGCACTTTGCTTGAAGAGACAGAGCAGACCCTGGTCACCATATTGCATGGAGAGCAAGTAGTGTTGAGAAACAATTTGAAAGTAGCATAAAGTGACAATTTTCAAGGGTGATTAACCCAAAATAACGCGACGAATAACAAGATGTAATATTTTAAAGAAATGCTTCATTTATATGTTTCAATGACTTGCAAACAGGTGAGAATGTTGGCATTTAAAATTCCTGCTAATGTTGTGACGCAAATTAGTGCCTGAGGCTCATTGGCTGATGTCCGTTACGATGCGCAAGAGCGCAACCCATCTCTGTCCAGCATGTCCGGGTATTGAGATGAAAATGCTGGCGGAAGCGCGCGTTGTGCAGGCCTGTGGTGCAAACATGTGAGAACATTCCGTTGCAAACTACTCAGACCCTCTACAAATCTATTCCGCGATGAATTGCAATGTTGTAAATGCTAGTCGGGGCTCAATACCACATGAATAAGTATTTTGTATACGTCAGGTATTCATGTTATTTTCTCGCACGTACCTAAAATGCATAGTTTTTGCACAGAGCGCGCTTATTAACTAAGCTAAGAATACCGACTTCATCTGATATTACTGTTTTGTTTTTTGGAAACATATTTTAAAATTTAGTTTCACGTGAGCACAGCATTGTATCTTCCGTTATCAACTCGTTGACTTAAAGGACGATTAAAATCCAGATTGCGTGCAAATCGGTTGTACTCTACATGCCATAGTTGTTTTCCTCGTTCAAGAAATATTTCGCAAAGGTAAAATGTATGTGATAATTAGAAAATAGGAACATGCCGTCCCTCCTAATTCGCAACCCACAGGCCGCCACTGACAAGAAAAGTATTGTGTATAATGTAAACAGGTACACAATATGTTGCCCGTTTATATATATATATATATATATATATATATATATATATATATATATATATATATATATATATTTGATGCCCGCTGTTTTACACGTGCACATTCTGTCGCAGAACATTCTGAAAAATCAACGCGTCCTCTCCGAGATACGGACTAGAAGGAAAAGCAAAAACAGCGATGGTCAAGGATTGCAAATGCAAACATCAATATTCAAAATTAAAACACCACCCAGTCATCTGGCTTAGCAACCTTCCACAAATTCACGCGGGGGATAATTTGATTTGACAATGCGCGCGTTTACTTATTTATAATTAAGATTTGTAACGGACCAAAGAAAGTTAAAAATATAAATGTAGGGAAATTTTCTTGAGTGTAGGTCAATAATAAACGTCATTTAAAGTGCCAACGTTTTGGCTTTTATTCAGCCTTCAATAGGGTATTTTATTCCCGTTCTGGCCAGTGAGAGGACATTTTGTGATGAGGCGACTTATGTACCAAGGTGGCGAATTTACGTAAAAGTAATGTATGGGAATGAAGGCCAGGAAGAATTATGTGGAAAGATAGTGCCGTTAGAATGTGGATAGGTCCGAGAGATCCAAAATGCCCTGATGAAGGCTGAATAAAAGCCGAAACGTCGGCACTTTAAATGTTGTTTATTATTGACCTAATTTCAAGACAACGTTCTTACAATTAATGAATGAGGTCAAGAAATCCGGTATGTGTAAAAATAATAACCAAATGAGCCTGAAAACCCGAGCGGTCAGGATCATCTCAAGGGGTCAGAGGTCTCCGTTCACCGCAGAAGGGTAGGGAAAGAAGGGGAGAGACCATACTCTAGGGTGGACGTGTTGACCGTTTGTTTGAAATTCGTTTATCTCTGCGCATGAAATTCAAAGACATTCGCTGTCCGGGAGATGGCGCTTCCTAGGCACAAGTACCAACGTTTCGGCTTCCTTGACGAAGGTCGCATAATGGCGACCGAAACATCGACATCTGTGTTTTACTGTAATTTTTCATGACTTTTAGGCATTTTTAAACTGGCTCCAAATATTTTCGTCGTATGTAACAAACGGTGCTGGTGCCAAACAAACAATATGTAACACTCAAATTGTGCTGGTACCATTTTTGCAACCGGTGCGCATTGCAAAATCGGTCTATTTTCGAAAATTTGCAAATAAATAATATCCCAAAAGTACAATTTTGATCATAGGTATTTGTCTTAAATCACTTCTAAAAATTAGATCTTTATATTAGGTTATGAACAATTTTTTGAAAAACCGAGTTGTTTTCGGTGATATCTGCTTGAAATTACTGCAATGTATTTAAAAATTCGGATAATCGGCTCCAATGTTGTCTTTAATTTTTTTAAAGGCAGATTAAAGGACGCTTAAAAATGGGGCGTGTCTATTTTTCGTTGATATTTCAGAATTTTTGAAAGTTCGGAAATGTTTGAAACAATGCGAGAAAGTATGTGCTGTTGGAGCAGCACTGGTTTTACCAAAGAATGTTTCTATCCTTAGTGCAGTGGCAGTCGTAGTGGTGCAAGCGCATGTAAAATATTTCGGAAGCGGTTTTTCTTTAGGTCCTGAATGACTGGTATGACACGTTGAAGTGCAGAGGCCCCAAATGTTGAGGCTGGAATGAGACGCCATTGAAGACGGCGGAAAATGACGTCATTTTGACACCATTATCTCTGTAACCCCACGCCCAATATTTTTGTTTTAAATGAAACATAATATTGTGTTCTTTAAAAAATGTCCTTATACACGTATTGACACATCGTAAGGTTTTTACATTCTCTCTACCACTTACGGTTACTCACAGAAAGTTATTTATTGCTGGGGGAAAATTGGCGAATTTTCGGCAGAAAAACTTATTGCCGGGCCCTGGTAACGAAAAAGTGGAAGCCAAAATCCATGTTTTACGGTCGTTGACACAAAAATCGATTGACGGTGAACAAGTCTAGCGCTAAACCGTTCAGCCGTTCATTGATATTCCCCTATCGACGTGGCCGATGTCGCGGCTCCTTAAATTGGAAACGGATATTGTCAATTGGGAGGTACTTTTCATAAAGCCTCTGAGGCATTTTCCAAATTTTCAAAAAAACTGCCTACGTTTTTGATTAAATTTGGTTGTTGGATGGTGTGAAGGACGTTTAAGAGAATGGTGCAGGTTGATTTTCTTTAAAAATCCCTAACTTTTCGAATATCGCAAAAATTCAATTTTTTTCTTTGTTCGTTTCTTGAATTCTAACGTTTGTTACACGTTTACAATTTAATCTTTTAGAAATTATTTAAAACCTTTTTGATAATCCCATATTTTTGCCCGTGTAGCGAAAAATGTATTTGCATTCGCAATGTATTGATGTATTTTCTTTCAAGCAATTCACAAACCATAATTGAAATTAGCCCAATTAGGGTTTCTCTCTCAAAAATACGATTTAAATGTAATATGTCAGACAAATTGCTAGCCGCCAGAAAGTATTTGATTGGAATGCGCCAATGGCCTTCCGCCCCGCGCCACAGCAGCTGTAGTTGTGCGATTTCCGTCTCATTGTTGGAACATGATTCATCCGAATGA